CTATTATAAAATTTGACAAAATAGGAAGCAAAATATAGTCAGAAGAGATAAAGAAGGTCACTTCATTCTGTCCAAAGAAGAATTCATGAAAAAGTAATTAAAATTCTAAGCACAAATGCAAACAAAAGCTCACCTAAATTTGTAAAACAAATACTACTAGATATAGTCATTTATTAACCCCAATGCAATAGTCCATGAATTTAATATCACAGTTTCATCATTAGAAGAACTACACACACACACCAACAAGAAAAATCTATAATTAAATAACACCATAGATCAAATGGACCTAATAGACAAATACAAAACATCCCACTGAAACACAACAGAATATACTCATTTCTCAGTAGCTCACTGAAATTACTATAAAAGATCCTATATGAGGACACACAGCAAGTACCAACACATACAGAAAAAGCTGAAACAATTCCTTGTATTCTATCTCATCAACCATGGAAAGAGACTGACAATAGACAGTAGCAGACATTATCAGAAACATAAAAACTTTATGGAGATGAAAGCATACATTATTACACACTCTTGTTTGATGAATGCATCACTGAAGACATCAATAAATTACTTAACTGAAAGAAAATTAGTATATAACATGAAAAGCATTGCAGACTTAACAGGGAAATTTATAACCCTAAGTGACATCAAAAATCCAAACAGGGGCAGGAGAAGGCTCAGTGGTTAAGAACTGAAAGAATCTGAGTTTGTTACCTCGCACCCATGTGGAGTGGCTCAGAATTGCACAGAACTCCACCTCCAAGGGTCCAATGTCCTCTTCTGGCCTTCTTAGCCACTCACACACACATGCACTTACTTTCACAAAACACATGCATACATATACATAGGTAAACAATAAGTTTTTCAAAAGAAACAGACAGATATTAAATAAACAATGTAATGGTACAACTTGAGGCATAGGAAGATCTCAAACTAATCACTAAATGGGAAAAAATTATGAAGAACAAGGCAGAAAGAAACAAAACAAGAAATTTAAAAAAAATGAATCAGGGAAATACAGTTGTTTCTTTGAAAGATAAACAAGATGGACAAACCATTAGCCAAATTAATGAAGAAAGAAAACCTAAATTAACACAATTAGAGAAAATGAAGACATTGCAATAGACAGGAGGAAATTCAGAGAATCGTGACAATAGACTTCAAACGTTTATATTCTACTAAACAGGAAATAACAAGAAATAGACAAATTTGTTCACATATAGGTCATACCAGAGTTAAACAAATATAAAATAAACTAACTTCAGAATTTTCGCACACATACAAATAAGAACTAATAACAACGCTTCTTAAACTATTCTGGTACACAGAACAGGGAAGGATTCCAAACGCCTTTCCCCCCATGAAGCCAGTATTATTCTGATTCCAAAACCTAATAAAGACACAGTAAAAAAGAAAATTAAAGTATAATCTCTTTGATAAACATACATTCTAAAGTTTTTAAAACAAAACAAAGACCAAAACAAAATCCTTACTTCCAAACAGAATTCATGAACAAATTATAACAATCCTTCACCTTGTTCAATCTGGTTTCATTCCACACATGCAAAGATGGTGCTGCATACATCAATGAATAAGAGAAAGACCATAAATTGTGCCAGAGACAGAAATTACAAATCATGGCAATAACTATACACACACACACACACACAAAAAAAAAAAAGTGTAAAAACTTCTATTTCACTTCATGACCAAAAACTTAGAAAGACAAGGGATAGAGACAATTTGATAAAGACTATATGACAGGGGCTGAAGATTTAGTTCAGTGGTAGTGTGCTTCCCTAGCAAGTGCAAGGCCCAGGGTTTGGTCCTCAGCTCCAGAAAAGAAAAGAAGCTATGTGACAAAATTATAGCTGATTGATGCTAAACTCAGAGCATTCCCATTAAGATCAGAAACAAAGATAATGAATCTCCTCAGTACAATTTAAAATAGTACATGATGTCTTAGCTTGAGCAGTAAGTGACCATTTTTGGCTTATTTCTTTTTGAGAGACATGCTCTCACTCTAGCCTATAATAGACTCAAATTTGAGGCAGTCATCTTGCCGTGGCTTCTTACATACTGGGATTATAAGTGAATCACCAGGTTGAATGGCTTCATGAGGAGAAAAAGATCTTTGGAACACAACAAAAGGAACACAAAAACAACAATGGTCATAGACTACCAAAGGCCAAAATTGGTGCAGACCAAAAGTAAACTAGACGTTGGATAATAGCAAAAGGAGTAAAGATTCTGAAATCTGTGTGATGTGGAAGACTAATAACACTAAAAACTTTCATGAAAAAAAAATAGAGAATCAAAATGTAAGTCTACACCAATATGATTAAAAAATATATATGCATTGGAGAAAAGAGATCCTCTTCAATATATTGTTATAGAAAAATAGATTATCTTCTGGTAGAAGGAAATAAGCCCTTTATCTCCTACTCTGGGAAAAAAATTAATTCCAACAGAATCAACTCTCTAGGTTGTACTCAAAATTCTGCAACTATTAGATGATATTAGGGAATATGTCTAATGATATAAGCATAGGTAACATATTTCTCAAGGGGATTCTATATTTAATTAAATATAGAATTTTTATTTAAATAAAAAGTCTCACAGGATAAATGGTCAACAGTACACAAGTGTCACCTTATAAAATCAGATGGCTTCTATACTACAAAAGATGGTTAAGTGAATGGGCAACCTACAAAATGGTAGAAACTTTTCCAGCTAAATATATTAGGCAGGGTTCGTGTCTGCAATATACAAGAATTGTATGAACTGAACATCTAGGAATAAAACAATCTATTAAAAATATTCTACGAAACTGAATAGAGTGCTTAGAAATACAAAGATGAATGGCTAATAAAGTACTCAGAAATTGTTCAAAAATTCTAGTCAACAGAGAAATGCAAATTAAATATTCTATGTGATTTCATCTTACTCTAGTCACATGGCTATTTGTGGACAAAAATATTGACAATGTGAAAAAAGGAAAACCCATACAGTTTATACTTCCGCTTATGTTGGTGGTAGGATAGGCTGGAACAGGCACAATATGAGGAAGTTTATCAAAATATTAAATATAGAACCACTGTTCTTTTTTTCTTTGGTTTTTCGAGACAGGGTTTCTCTATGTAGCTTTGCGCCTTTCCTGGAACTCACTTGGTAGTCCAGGCTGGCCTCGAACTCACAGAGATCCGCCTGGCTCTGCCTCCCGAGTGCTGGGATTAAAGGTGTGCGCCACCACCGCCCGGCCCACTGTTCTTTTTATGCAGATCTGAGCAGGGCACTTCCAGGGTCCATCCATTATCATCACAGACATATGTGAAAGTGTCATGGGAACTCTGGATCAAGTGCTATGACATTTTAAACATGACAGAGAATAATGAAAATTTTATAAAATGTTAAATGAGCTCCCAGTTTCTTAAATGGACTATGCAGAACACAATTTAGTATTGATAGTTTTTTCAATGTCTCTGCTTGTAGGATTAATTATGAGACGCAGGGGTTGCATGATAATGTCTTCCAGGACATGGTCATGTGTGTCAGCTTTTCAGTCAAATAATGTAAATCTAATAAAAATTTGGGTAACATTTTTTAAAAAAAGAACTGCTATATGATCCAGCAATACCAATCAATACAGCAAAAGGACTATACACCACACAACAGATATAACCGCATGTTCAACGTGGTTGTATTCATAAAAGCAAAATGGAACTACCAAAGATACCCACCAACAGGTGAATAGATACTGAAAATGTAGCATTTGCACAATGTAATTTTCTTTCAGTGCAAAGAGGAATGAAATTGTAAAATATGTAGACAATGTGTTGAATTTGGAAAATATACTGATTGAGGAAACAGACATAGAAAGACAACATCCTTAATCTCCCTTATTGCAGTGTCTAGCTACAAAGTTTAAGTGTAGCATGCTTAAAAGTATGTGCTCACAAAGACCAGAAAGACAGAAAGGAGACATTAGAGGAGAAGTGGCTAGCAGAACACCTCAGACATATAGGGTGATGTAATACTGAGTAGAAAGGTGTAAGCAGATGCGGGGAAAGAAGGGATACAGAAGAGGAAGAACTGGAATAAATAATACAGGATATTCAGGGAGGAAAACATAGAGAAAGGTACTTTATAACCTTAGTGAAAAATATAGCCTAAACAAAAAAGTTTGAATGGATACATTCTCCATTGATGGACAACACATTTCTCCAAAGTCACAGGTAACTAACTATATGAGAACCCAGTACTAAGTTCAGGATACCTCCCTACCATTTGTTGCTCAAGAAGGACCCAGGGTCTCCCTTAAAATGTAGGTTACTGTCATTGCTCAGGATTTTCAAACAGAAATTGATGGTAAAACTCTATAGCTGAAGACAGTATCCACTTTGGTTATAGTACATTGAGAAATCAAGCCAGAAATGACCTGGAAGCTGTCTCCCTCCAGATAGCTTTCAATTTGTGAGAACTTGCTATTCAACTTGCTGGGAAAGGATTAGCTGTGTATTCAGTGAGATAAAATAATGCACCGGGCAAAGTATATTGTTGTTTGGATTTTTACCAGCTACACAAGCAAAAACTCAATCATATTTTATATGTGTCTGAGTGTATGCTATGTATTTGTGTTGTCTTCAGAGCCCAGAAGAGAGTCTTTAATTCCTGGAAGATATAGGCCATTGTAAGGTACCAAATGTGGGTGCTGGGAAGTGAATTAGAAGCCTTTGAAAGATTAGTTAAGTACTCTTAGATGTATAGTTATTTCTCCATTCTTGATTCTTCAAGTCTTGATTCTCCAGTCTTGATTCATCAAGAGCTTGTGGGTTTGGCAGGTCACCAGTGCTAAGCAGTTACATAATATTATTGTCTTGACAAATGCTCATGTTAAAATGCCTTGCAAATTCTCATGTTCATATTCATAAATTAAGGAGTGTGTCTGTTAAGAATTACTGAAGGAACAGAGGGAAGAGGACAAAGATGGGGACGGGGAATTTAAAAGACTAAAATTTATTATAGAAATATATGAAACTATCAAAAAAAGGAAAACGATCAGTTGAAACTGCCTTTAAAAATATAATCATTGAAGTACACAAGAAACTTTAATAAAACACACAGAATCTATGTAAATATAGAGGCTGGGTACATAGCACAAAGATTAAGGGTACTTGCTGTTTTCACAGAGGACTAGAGTTTGGTTCCTAGCACTCACCTTAGGGCACCAAAACTGAATCTTACTTTAGTTCCAGGAGGTCCTACACCCTCTCCAGATCGCAGACACTTAGATGCATGTGCATATATTCATACAAAAACACTGATATACTCACAAATGATATAATAAATTTAAAAATAATCTATATAAATGTCATTAGGGCTGGGCAGTGATGGCACACACCTTTAATCCCAGCACTTGGGAGGCAGAGGCAGGTGGTCCTCTGTGTATTCAAGGCCAACCTTGTCTATAGAGTGAGTTCCAGGACAACTAGGACTATATAGAGAAACTCTGTCTCGAAAAAAAAAGTCATTTAAGAAAATGATTTTTTATGTAAACGTAATTACCAATGAACTAACAGTTTTTTAATTTGCTATGTAAGAGACACAGAAAATATTACAATAGAACAATAACTTTTATACTTTAATCACAGACACTGAAAAACCTGAAAGAGAAGTCAGTGCTCTTAGCTACTGAGCTATCTCTCTGAAGCAACAATTTCTTTTCTTTTTCTTTTCAGATTTTTTATTTGTTTATGCACATGATTGTACAGGTAGCTGGAGAGGACCAGAAGGTGTTCAGAACTTCTGGAACTGAAGCTAAAGTTAGTTGAAAGCCACCCAATAAACATGCTGGAAACCAAACTAAGGCTCCTTGGACAAGTAACAAATGCTAATCACTGAGCCATTTCTCCAGGTTCCAAATAATTTCTTTAAATGCTAGCCATTGTTAAACACCATTTCTTAGGAGTCTGTCTTTCCAGTGACAGGAATGGCAGACCAGAAAATTATGCCAATATTATTAAGCAAATCTTACCTCCAAGATTAAAAACAAAAAGGCAGTAATAAAAGTCTTGTACAAGAATGGATCAAAGATCAAAATGCTAAAATTTTTATTGTACTTCTTTCAGATTATTTCTAAAATATTCTACACAAACTTAAATTCTCTTTATAAGATTTGACTACGTGAAAATGTTTTACAAGCTTTACTTCAACTGAAAATCACACGGCTTTATTTTTTTTTTCATTAAAATTTTCATTTGGTTGGAACAAGTTCACCTTAAAAGTCTCCAGTGGTATTTAAATGTTCTGTAATGGATACTCGATTTTGCTAGCCTCCTACCCTAGCTGTAATAGACAGACAGGCATTAAAACACGAATCAGAACAGGATTTCATCCTGAATATACTTGTATATTGGGGCTATCTAAGTGTTCTTTTCCACTTCAAAATTTTCCTTTTTTTCTTGCTTTAGCACTATATTTATTCACTTCATTTGTATGTGCGCACACATACATTCAATGGTGTGCATGTGGAACTCAGAAGACAACTTTTGGGAACTGGGTCTCTATTTCCACCACGTGACTTTCATAGTTAAAACTGAGATCATCAGGCTACCCAAAAGACCCTTCACTAACTGAGCCATCTCATGGTCACCCAAACTCTTTTTTCATACCTCACAATAAAAGCAAGTTGATCACAGAGGGCCACACTGTTTATAGTTGAGCAAGCTCTTCACTATGAGACCTTATATGGGTTTGTGATGGTATGTGGGACACAGATGCTTTCACAGATTGCTCACATGGACAAGTTTTCTATACTGTGAATTCTTTCATGCTTGAGGAAATTACCACAATAAGTGAATTCTTTCCCACAGTGTTTACATACATAAAGTTTCTCTTTCATAGAATGAATTTTTTTATGAGTATAATAGGAACTCTGACTATTAAAGGTTTTCTCACAAAGGTTACATGCAAAATGCTTCTCTGCAGTGTGAGTTTTTTCATGACTGTTACGGGTACTGGAAGTGGTGAAAGTTTTTGTGCAGTGCTTACATGTATAAGGCTTCTCTCCAGTGTGAATTCTCTCATGACTGTTACGGGCACTTGAAGTGGTGAAAGCTTTTCCACAATGTTTGCATGCATAAGGCTTCTCTCCAGTGTGAATTCTTTCATGCTTGATTAGATCACCAGAAAGAATGAATACTTTTCCACACTTTTTACATAGAAAGGATCTCTCACCAGTATGAATTCTTTCATGGCTGTTTCTGTCGCTGGAAGTAGCAAAGGCTTTTCCACAATACTTACATGCATAAGGCTTCTCTCCAGTGTGTATCCTTCTATGGTTGATAAGATAATCAGAACGACTGAATGCTTTCCCACATGTTTTACATACAAAGGGTTTCTCTCCAGTGTGTATTCTTTCATGACTGTTACGGTCACTGGAACTGGTGAAGGCTTTTCCACAATGTTTACATGCATAAGGCTTCTCTCCAGTATGAATTCTTTCATGGTTCATAAAATGACCCAAACGTTTGAATGCTTTCCCACATTTTTTACATACAAAGGGATTCTCTCCAGTGTGAATCCTTTCACAGCTATTATAGTCATTGGGACTAGTGAACACTTTTCCGCAATGCTTACATGAATACGGTTTCTCTCCACAGTGAATTTTTTCATGAACATTATCAGCACTGGAAATAGTGAAGATTTCTTCACAATGTTTACATTCATAATAATTCTCTCCAGTGTGCATTCTTTGGTGCATGAGAAGGTATTTCAACTGAATAAATCCTTTCCCACATTGCTCACAGGCATAAGGCCTCTCTCCACTGTGAATTCTTTCATGTTTTTGAAAGCATGACAAATATCTAAATGTTTTTCCACATTGTTTGCAAATGTAACACTTCTCTACAATATGAATTCGTTCATGACTGATAAGGTGACTGGAATTAACAAAGGCTTCTCCACATTGCTTACACACAAATGGTTTTACTTCAGTATGGATTCTTTCGTCTATCTGGCCATATTCGTAGTTTGTAAAGGCATTCTCATTGTGCTTATTTCCAGTATAAGTTCTCTCCTGATCCTGATCACGATGGAGATTCCCACAAGCTGTATTACATTGTTGATTTTCACAGGATTTCTCTCTGGAACTTTCATGTACTTGAAATGACTCAGAATGACCCATATCTTCCCAAGATTTCTCATGTTTAAAAGCCTTCTCCACAGGTTCCTTATCCTCAAATGGTTTCTCTTTAGTTTGATCACTGAGGTGCACATCTGAGGGTAAATTACCAATGAGGTTTCTTACACACAAACTATTTTCATATAATGTTATAACAGGAGGAATGTCCTCATTAACAATATGTTCTGGAATCTCTTGCTGGGTTTTTTCACACTGACTATCATGTTCATATTCACCATCTTTCTCAACCACCTGACTTCTGAAAAAAAATGAGAAAAGCATTATTGGAATTGGAAATAGTGAAGCCTTTTTCATGTTTTCATTAGTAAGATTTCTTGCCAGTGTGAACTCTTTAGTGTGTGAGAAGGTATTTACAATAAATGAATCCTTTGGTGCATGGTATATTTTTGATTAGGCAAAGAAAATGTTGGTGACTGACTCCAGTTGTCCACTATAGTTATAATACTCCAGAAGCAAGAGCAGAAAGACTCCAAATTTAAGGTCAATCTGGGCCACATATAAGGATCCTGTCATGAGTAAATAAATAGACTGTTTACTTTCATAAGAATTATGAAGAATCTGAGAGATAGCTCAGTAGTTAAGAGTACCTCTTCCTCTTCCAGAAGACCAAAGTTCAGCATCCCTATGGGTGGGTTCACAGTGGCATATGACTTCAGCTTCAAGGGACCTATAGCCCTCTTCTGGGTCTATAAATCCTTCTCAGACATGTGTGGCATGCACTCACATGAAACCACACACATACATAAATTGAAATGATTTATGGAACATAAAAGGAGAAAATTTTCAGCCAAGGTCCTGGTATTAGCATAAAAGAATAACAATCACATGACATTAGGAAATATGACTCCACTTAGGCATTTGAAATACATAACATGTGCTGGTTAGATTTTTATCAACATGACACAAGACAGGGTCATCTGAGAAGCTGGAACTTCAATTGAGAAAATGGCTCCATCAGATTTGCCTGTGGGTAATTCTATAGGGGAGCTTTCTTGAATAAGGGCCTACCTTACTGTGATTGGTGCCTCCCCTGGGTAAGTGGGCCTGTGAGTCAAGTGATGTGTGCTGTGTATGGCAGAGAAAGAAAAGTGCACCCTAAATCCTTTGGAGATGAGGCTACCATGAGTGGAGCCCAGATGAGGCACAGTGAGCTACAGAATTTGGTTAACATTGAATTATGGGTGTGCTTTGATCTATGAGTTAATGGTGAGTTATGCGGGAGGGCCTACCTTACTGTGATTGGTGCCTCCCCTGGGTAAGTGGGCCTGCGTTATATAAAAAAGGTAGCAGAGCAAACCAGTAGCAGTGCTACTTCATGGTTTCTGCTTCCAGGTACCTGAGTAGCTTAAGCTCCTGGCCTGGCTTCCCTTGATGATAGATATTGACATGAAGTGTAAGCCAAAATAAGCCCCTCTCTTCCCAAGTTGCATTTGGTTGTGGCATTTATCACAGGACTAGATAGTAAACTGAAAGAGAAATTGATACCAGGTCCATGGGGTATTACTGTTACAGACCTGACCATGTTGTTTTTGGAAGGACTGTGATAGTGCTTAGAACTTTCAACTGGAAAAACCAGAGAATGCTTAAAAAAAAAATCTGTTTTGGCAGATTGGAATGTACGAATGTTAAGAGCAATGTAGACAATGATAGCCTGCCTTGTCAAGTTTCAAAACGATGTCTGAGAGAGACCAGGCTGCAACTTACGTTACCCCCTTGGTCACCAGGGTTGATTTGGCTGATGTGGCTGGGGAGGGAGTGCCCCTTCTACTCTCACAGCTCCAAGTGTACCCCTCCTGAAGCCTTGTGCTTTGTCAAAGAGGATAACCTTCCCAGAGTAGAAGAACAGCAGTCTTAAGTTAATGGTATATGAGTAGCTGTGCTCCCATGCTATAACATCCAAGCAAACCCTCAAAGGGGTGTTTAAGAATACCCCCAAAACTCTATCAGAGTGGTTCAAGAGATAGTTTGTATTACAAATCTATGCTTTCTGGTCAGCTAGGGCTGAAGAATCAGCTATGATAAACAACCAGCATTGAGGTGAAATCTTTAGAGATTTCAGTCAGTACAAATACCACAAGGGGCTAAGGCTGCACTTCAAACTGGGAGGAAAACATGGCAATGGGTCAAATTCTGTCAGGTGGTATTGATTTTGGCAGCCTGAGAACTATAGGAATGAAGGGGTCATGGAGAGAAGCTGAGACAGGGACAGTCAAAGGCCAGGATATTTCACTGCTGAAGATGAACCCCAGGTGCGGTGGCAACATGAAGAATGAAGGGTTTGAGAACAGATGAGATTTTGCACCAAGGGTCAAGGTTGGAGTTCCTGAAGAGTTCACAGTGAATGGTGAAGCTGTAACCGGTATGGACCCTAGCATATGAGAGATGTCAATACCATGGATGACTGCCAAGGACAGCAGCAGTTGTAGACTGGAGCCAGCCTCAGCCTGTGAGTCAAGTGATGTGTGCTGTGTATGGCAGAGACAGAAAAGTGCACCCTAAATCCTTTGGAGATGAGGCTACCATGAGTGGAGCCCAGATGAGGCACAGTGAGCTACAGAATTTGGTTAACATTGAATTATGGGTGTGCTTTGATCTAATTGTAACTGTGCTCTGCTTCCTCCCTTTTGAAATAAAAAGTGCATATCTTATATTTTATTTTACAGGAGCCCACAGAGGAGACATTTTGAATTTAAGAGACACTTAATATTGGTGTATAATTTTTTTAAGACTGTGCGATTCCTAAAGTTATGCTCTGATTTATATTGTGGTATTAACATGAGATCATAAGACAAAGAAGAAAGGAAAACTTATGGTATAATAGTGGTGAATCTGTATGTCAAGATGACAAGGAGTCAATTGTGCTGGTTAGGTTCCAGTTGAGAAAATGGTTCCATTAGATTTGCCTGTAGGCAAGTCTGTGGGGGTATTTTCTTGATTAGTAATTGATGTGAGGGCCTAGCCTACTGTGGGTACCACCCATGAGCATATGGGCCTGAATTCTATAAGAAATGAAGCCGAGTAAGTCTTGAGGAGCAACCCAGTAAACAGTGTTCTTCTATAATCCCGTTTCAGTCCCAGTCTTCAGGTTCCTGACCAGCATGAGCTCTGGCCTTCACTTCCCATGATGAGTGAATGTGATCCTGAAGTCAGGACAGGAACCTGAACAAGTTGTCTTTTGTCCTGGTGTTTATTTCAGCAATAAAAAACGAATTAGAAACAGCTCTTCTGAGGCTAGTGAGGTGACTCAGAAGTTAAGAGGACTGATAGCTCTTCCAGAGGAATCATGTTTGATTCCCAGCTCCGACATGGTGGCTCACAACTATCTGTAACCAGGAGATGGGGATCTTATGCCCTCTTCTGGCCTCCAAAAGCACTACATGGATGTGACACAGACATACATGCAAACAAAGCATACATAAAAAAATGATTAATTCTAAAAACCAAGATAACAACAACAAAACAGCCCTTATATACAATGCCCTGAGAAAACATCATTAAAAAATACATCAAATACTTTTGAGTATGAGGCAAGATTTTATGTAATGAACCACTGAAAAATCTCACATAGCTAAACGTTTTATCACATTTGGTGCCATTCAGAAATTACAGACACAGGATAATCAAATTCTGAATGCTCACATCCAATGCAGTTTTATAAAATCTATGTTAGAATTAATTTATACTTAGATATGATTGGATAATTTACTAGGTTCTCAGTTGTCCTATCATTCCCAAATGTTTGATGTAAATTCCTCTCCTTTGAGTATAAATTACCCCAGATTTCTCCTGAGATTCTGGTAGTCCTCTTCAACATCTTCTTGTGTTTTCTCTAGAAGTAAACCCAAAGAAATTATTGTGACACAGTCAACATTATAAAAATTTATTACATTCTAAATCTTATGATGTAACCAGACTCATTAAATTCACATGTTCCCTTTCAATATTTCAAGCCACAAACCACTATATAGCAGGAAAAAGTTGAATAAGCAAAGGAAGCATAGTGTGTTATTTTACCTATGGAGATCAGGTTCAGAAAGTTTTCCTTCATCACATCTCTGTAGAGCTTTCTTTGACTAGAATCCAATAAAGTCCACTCTCCTGAGGTAAAGTTCACAGCCACATCCTCAAAGGTCACGGGCTCCTAAAACAGTACACATATTAAGATGGTTGGTTTTAACTGATAGGCTGACAGGATACAGAATCATCTAGGGCATATGCTTCTGAAGACATTCCTAAGTGGCTATGCAGATAAAGGTTAACTTGAGAAACTACAGTGATTACATGAATTAATGTGAGAAAACCCACTCACAGTGTATGGGAGCATTCTCTGATTTGTATGCAGAATTCTATCAGAGGAAGAAGGGAGCTGAGGAACATAGTCGCTCATCACTCTATTCCTGATTGTGGTTGTGATTTGGCCATCTGTTTTACACTCTTGCTTTAAGGTTTCTGTCATGATTTATTGAACCCTTCAACCATGAGAAGAAATAAACTTTTTGACCGTGTTTTTTTCTTTTTTCTTTTGTGAGAGGCAGAAGAATTGTTTTTCTTAAGGCAGAGAGAGAGAGAGATCAGCATACTAGAAAAAGCAAATCTGAATAGATCATTTTGTAGATATTGTAAAGACAAAAAATGATGAAAGAAATGCTTACAGAAGAGGCACAGCTCAGGAAGGTTCAGAGAGGAACAAGGACTCAGTCTGTAACTGAGGTGGGAACCATTACTTTGCTATTTTGGTCAAGAACCTAGCTTCATTCTGCCCTGGGCCCAGGAACGTAAAGGAACTTGCGTTAAAAAACAATGAAGTATTTTAGTAAATGAAAAGAGTGTAAGCAAGCTTAAAGTTTTAGACACGAGGTGATGAGAAAGCAGCTATGATTGGTGTGAAATTAATTCTTGGTACTGGGACAATAATGAGACAGGCAAGCACAGAACAAGTTAAGCAATCTGAGACTTTACTTGGGTTTTGCACCCAGTCCTCTCTGAATAATGCACCTAGCACCCTGTGAATATTCGTCTTTGAAAAATCTTCTGTAGGTCTTTGAAAAATCTTCTGAAGGTAACCTTGGACCACATCCGATATCAGGTTTCATGCTTTAAAATTGGCAATATGTTAGTCCCTCTAGAAACACCTTATTAATCCCTTATATATATTCAATTACATTTTGGAACACACCTGGTAACAATGGAAAATGGCCTGAAAGTAATGAACTACTTTGGAGCATATGTACCATAAGGCAAACTGTGTTCTCAAAATTAATATCTAAGGAAAATCTTTTTACCATTTTGCATCTGAATAAGGCATATGATTAATATCAGATGCATGACGGGAAAGGATACATGCAGTGAGCAAGGCTTTCCAAGAGTAACCCTATCAGTCAAAACACTGAACCCTCTGTGTATGCTCTATCCCTTAGCAACCAAATCCTTCCTTTCAAAGCCCCAAGCATTAATTGGTGACCTGACCCTGTTCAAACCTACAGTCTGGATATTTTAGGAAGATTATTGAAGAGGGGGACTGGGATAACCTTGGACTAAAATTACTAAAGTCAGCAGCAGCAAAGTACATCATTTTCGGTGGACTGTGCTCTGATATTGTGAGACGGAACCTGCCAATATATCTGAAGATCCCACACTTGCAACTCATGCACTTTCTGACCCTCTCTAAGGTTCCTTTCTCTTCTCTCATTGTATATACTGACTACGGTTCTATGAGCTTATACTTCTCAATAGGGAGTAAGGCCTTGTGATATATATATATATATATAAAAATGATGAGCATTGCCAGGCAGTTGGCCCACGCCTTTAGTACCAGCACTTGGGAGGCAGAAGCAGGATCTCAGTGAGTTTGAGGCCAGCCTGGTCTACAGAGTGAATTCCAAGACAGCCAGGACTGCTTCACAGAGAAATCCTGTCTCAAAAAAAAAAAAAAAAATAAATGAAAGAAAGAAAGGAAGGAAGGAAGGAAGGAAGAAAGGAAGAAAGAAAGAAAGAAGTAAAAGAAGAAAGAAAAAGAAAAGAAAATTGATATTGATGAGCATGGAAAAAACTCTCAGTCTGCTAGTCTTGTTAAGTTTTGAGCTTTGCTACCAATAACCCTACAATTAGAGGTAGTTAAGCCAAGTATGGCAATGCATACCTGCAATCTTGATAGCCATGAGACTGAAACAGGGGATCATGAGCTTGAGGCCAGCATGGTCGACAAAATTTTGTCTCAAAATGATCAAAAAGGAGAGAGAAAACGAAAGACTGGCTCCAAGAAAAAAAGTCAAGATGTCCTTCCTTTTTTTAAAATTTTTCCACAGACTTTGGGTACATTAATTTATAAATTTGTGATGTATTAAATTTTTTAAATGTAGGTAACCAATACTATAAACTTCCCTTAAAACTGCCTTCATTCTGTCCCATGGACTTGGTTACACTGTGTTTTTTCATTTAATTTTAGGAACCTAAACATTTCCTTCTTGATTTGTTCCTTGATCTAGTTATAATTTAGTAATATGTTGTTCAGTTTCCATGAGTCTGTATACTTTTTGTAGTTCTTTTGCTGATAATAACCACCTTTAGTCCATTTGGTCAAATAGAATGCAATTTCTCTATATTTGTAGAGACTCTCTCTGTGCCCTAATGTTGTGGAGTCTGAAGAAAGTTCCACAGGCTCCTGAGAAGATTGTGTATTCTTTAGTGTTTGGCTGGATTGTTCCAGAACATGTCTACTAGGTCCATTGATTTATTATGTAATGTTTCTTTGGTTAGCTTTTTGACCAGATGAATGAGTCATCTGGTAACAGTAGGTTACTGACATCATCCATTACCTGTAATTTTAGATCTAGTGGTATGTCTTTTAAAAATTGGGTGTACCTGTGTTTGTTGAATATGTTTAGTGTTATAATTTCCTCTTGGTGGATTATTCCTATAATGAATATGAAATTACACTCTTTATCTCTTTTGACTAGTTATGGTTTGAAGTCTATTTTATCAGATAAACAATAACTATGCCTTCTTATTCATTTGCATGGAAGACCAGTTTAAACTCTTTTACCCTAAGATGGTATCTATCCTTGATGTTAAGGTGGGAATTAAGATTTTCTTTTCCCCTGAGACATAGTTTCTCTGTTTAGCCCTGGCTGTCCTGGAACTCATTATGTAGACCAGGCTGGCCTCAAACCCAAAGATCTGCTTGTCTCTGCCTCCAAAGTGCTGGGATTAAAGGTGTGTGCTATCACCACCTGGCAGGGATTAAGACAATAACATTAAGAGCTATTAATAATCAGACATAGTGGTGCACACCTTTAATCCCAGCACTTGGGAGGCAGAGGCAGGTGGATGGAGACTATCCTGATCAACATAATGAGTTCCAGGACAGTCGGAGCTATACAGTGAAACACTGTCTCAAAAAAAAGAGACACTTCCAGACAAAGTGAGCTGCCTAGAAGCCTCGCAGACCAGCTCAGCTGCCTGGAAGAGGCTCAGACCAGCATGTTATGGTGTCTGCTTGGATGCAACATAATTCAAACACGAGTTTGGATGCAGAACAAACTCGGGAGCAGAACTGTGACCCTGAAGCAGAATATTACAGTTTTTAAGCACAAAACCCACAAATATCTGTGCCAAGTTACAGTTATATTTTCCACCAACTGGGATTCAGGGATCAGGAGCTTTCCAAGGGACATTTCTTCTCATTGGGTGTTTTACTCTGGTGGCTGGGCAGTTTGCCCATCATTCATGCCTCAACTTGGCAACCAGGATGTCAGTAATGTCAGTTACCTAGGAAGGTCTTGGAAAGTTAAACTTTATTGGACCTTTCATCAAAATGGAAGTTCTATTCAAATGGCTTCAGTTTAGTTCCTTCTTACAAGCAGAGCAGCCTGGAAAAAGCAGAGACTAGCCAACCAGCTTGAAAGAAGGTCAAACCAGTTGAAGTATCTGCAAAGGACAGTGTCCAACCTGCTGAGCTGCCTACAGGCTATGCAAGGTTCTCTGGGTAACCAGCATTCCTGAGCTATCATCCATCCTACGGTTGGCTTTGGTGATGCAGCTGTCTTTGATTCATTTCTGACCCTGTAAGTAACTCTTCACTTATATTTCTGTAATCATCCCAATAAAACTCATTGGTTCACCAAGCTGGACTTTGGTAGTAGCCACACTTTAGTCTATTTTTGGTTTCCTGTCTGACTTGAAAAGATGATTGGTCATATCTCCAATAGAATGCAATCACAGACCCAACTCACCATTCAACTAATGAACTAGATAAAAAAAAAAAAAAGAAAGAAAGAAAGAAAGAAAATCTGTAATTAAATGACACAATGAGGTCAGATGTGATAGGGTATGCCTTTAATCCCAGCACACACAAGGCAGAGACAGGTAGATCTCCCTGAATTTCAGACCACCCTGGTCTACATAGCAAATTCCAGGCCAGCTGGAGCTATATAATTGAGACTGAGTCACAAACGGCCAATAAACAAACAAACAAACAGAATGAATGACGCCACTAAACAAATGAACCAATTAAACACACAAAGAATATTCCACTCAAACATAAGAGAATACACACACTTCTAAGCAACTAATTGAAAGTCTCTATACGAGGATACAAAGCAACTTTCAACAAATGAAGAAAGCCTAAATGGATGTCTTGTATTCTATCTGATCATAACGCAATAAGACTGAAAGCCAATAGCAACAGAAATTACAGAAAATCTACAAACTAATAGAGATTAAATAACACACTACTGAATGAGGAATGTGTCATTGAAGAATTAAAGGAGATCAAGTGCTTCCTTGAATTAAATGAAAATGAAGGCATAATGTGAGAAAACAGACAAAATACAATGAAGACAGTACTAACAGGGAAATATATAACTCTTCTTCCTATGGTTAAAAAAAAAAATCATACAAGAGAGGCTAGGTGGTGGTGGTGCACACCTTTAATCCCAGCACTTGGGAGGCAGAGGCAGGTAGATCTCTGAGCTTGAGGCCAGCCTGGGCTACAGAGTGAGTTCCAGGGCAGCCAAGTCTACACAGGGAAACTATGTCTTGAAAAAAAAAAAAAAACCAAACCAAACCAAACCAAAAAAGCAAAGACAACAACAACAACAAAATCAGACAAGAGGGATTTCCTCCCTCCCCTCCTAGCTCCTTGTGGTGATATTGTGTTCCCCGAAATATTGTGCATCCTAATAAACTTATCTGGGGTCAGAGAACAGAACTGCCACTAGATACAGAGGCCAGAAAATAGTGGCACACACGCCTTTAATCCTATCACTTGGGAGGCAGAGATCCAATCAGATCTCTGTGAGTTTAAAGCCACACTGGAAACAGCCAGGCATGGTGACTCACGCCTTTAATCCCAGGAAGTGATGGCAGCAGAAAGGTATATAAGGCGTGAGGACCAGGAACTAGAGCTGGTTACGCTTTTAGGCTTTTGAGCAACTGTTCAGCTGAGATCCATGTGGATGAGGACCCAGAGGCTTCCACGCTGAGGAAACAGAATCAGCTGAGGAACTGGCAAGGTGAGGTGGCTGTGGCTTGTTCTGCTTCTCTGATCTTCCAGCATTCACCCCAATAACTGGCCTCAGGTTTTATTTTATTAATAAGACCTGTTAAGATTGATGTTACAGCTCTTCACTCTGGGGGGTCTCAGAGCACAGTCCACTGAAAATGACCTACTTTGATGCTGTTCTTTTCTGTGCTGATCAGGAAAACTATATATCACTAACTGCTCACCCAGGAAGAGTAGTGGGGGCCCCTGATGTTGGAGTTCAGAGGCCTGAGACCCTCCCTCCTACTGCCTCCAGGACCTCCTCATGTTTAGGGGATGTCTCTGGGTCTCAAAGATAAGGAGGAAGACTTAATGAATAGTATCAACCACATTATGGTACTCTGTCTACCCTGGCCCCTCCACGTCCCACCATGTCACAGGACATGTACCAGTGAGGATCAGGGACTCTGATCTCTCACCTTTCACCCTTGATCCCTCAGCTTTCTGCCAGGGATCTAGACCACCCTGACTTTCAGCCAGTGATGAGCTATCACCCATG